TGGGAGAGAACTTTAGACCACAAAAATCATAGTTTTAAATAATTAAAATAAATAATAATTAAAGTTTGTGTACTTCAAGCAGTTCTTTTAGAATTCAGTGATGGGATAAAGTTTTTCATTTTTCAAACACTATATATATATATATATATATATATATATATATATGTAAGAATTAGAAAACTCATTATACTTCGCTTTTGACTTGGCTGCCAGGAAGCTCAGGGCTGATCTAAGGACCCAATCACACTCAATCTTTTCCTGCATATGTTTAAGCATATTCTTCTCAACCTTTTATGACCTCTTAATATATGGTCACTTACTTCAATCTTATTATTCCAATGTATCTAAGTCCTATATATATAGAAGAAGCAGGATGTTCATTTATTTGAACAATAAATTCATTCAAAAGCAATTATTGTGCAACTATTAAGTGTCTGGCACTATTCTAGAGGATGGAGATAAAATTAGTTAAAAGATCACTTTTTATGGGAGAAGTGAATATATTTCACTGGATCCCTAAAAGAAGGAAAAAGAAATCTTCCAATCAAACCAAATTCAAGAAAACAGAAATTTAAAGTTTCTTTTCAAGAAAAGTTTGCAACATCAATTTAATCCTCAGGAAAAGTAAGTTAATACAATGTCATCTTCTAGAAGACTGTTGCATACTGGGGTATGGAAAACTGGCTACTTGATTATGCAACCTGCTTCTGAGGGGTCCTGCAATAAAACCAGTCTTCATCCTTGGGCATGAGCTAAGCATTAATAACACCACAAATTAAAGCTTTAAAATATATTGTCCCAAACAACAGAAATCTATTACACTGTCTAACTCCCAGGGAATGGGCTTTGTCTTAGATTTCCTACCTTGGATGCAATAAGTAAACAGCATGTACTGGGGCAAATACAAGCCAAGAATTATGATGCACTTTGTGTGGCTGACCAGGAGAGAATAATTGCTAACTGCGAAAACAGCTTTCTTTTAGAGATGACTTCAAGGTTGGTGGGCCTAAATTTGCCTTTGCTTTCAGCTTTATTTTACTTTACTGGCTTGCAAATATGTGTCACACAGTGACCCTATGTTGGCCTGCCAGCTGCCAGCCTAATACTGGGAAAGGTATTGAAATTTACAAGGATCTTGCCCTTGGCCTTCACTCACAGAGAGATGCATTCTCACACATTTTAAGGGGTTGCCAGTTTACAATAGCCCAGCAGTCAAGGAAGGCAGTCCAACAAGACTGCCCACAGATATGCACGTGCTTGTCACCTGCCCCATCAATTGCAAATACTAGCACTTCAACTACTTGCCCTTCCTTTGCAGGAGAAAGCTGTGTAAATAACTGTAATGATTCAGGCTGGGCAAAATACAGGACTTCTCAGATTCAACTATGTGCACTTGGGCTTCTCAGTCTGACACAAAGTCTTTAAATAAAAGAGCTGCTCTGTTTAACTGGGAAATTAAGTTAAAACATTTTTTAAGGTAGTGTAATGCGTTGGTAATTTTCTAAGCAAATCCAAACCCAGAAGTGGCCTACATTTTTTAAATAATTGTAAGCAGCATCTCAAAGAATTCAGAGTACTGACAAATAACAAAGTGCAACTATTGATCTTGAAAAATCAGCGTGTCCTAATAAAGGCTAAAGCAGATGACAAAGACTAAAAGACTCTAGGCTTGTCCCAAAAGTGTTGCAAGGAAAATTTTAGAATTACAGCCAAATAATCTCTTCATTAGTTTGTGTAACAAAAGTCAAAATTTGTGCCGCGAGACTAGGTCAAGATCTCCAAACTCTAATCAATACAGGTGTGAAAGCTGTAACTTTATATTAAATGGGTGGGAGAAGATTCCGGGAGAGGAATTAGATCATTAAGTGTGAGGAAAACCGGCACTCATGTTTGTAGATCTTTACTTTCAACTTCTCGCTCTAATTCCATTTAAGTCCATTAAATCCCGTAAGCACAAAACACCGAGAGGAAAGATGAACAGTTTGGGGCAGGCGGCTGAGTCTCCCCCTCCTCCCTCCTTTTAGACCCGTCGTTCTGGGCTTTCTTTCCCAATGACATTTCGTTTCTAGTAAAGTCTCTCCTATCTTTAGGTCTAATTATCTCATTGTACAAATCTTTCAAAAAGAAAGAAAGGGAAGAACTGCAGTTTGCTCTGTGTGCAGGCACATCTTTTCTTCTGCCCAGGCTCTTAGGAAATCTTCAACCAACTATCACTGAAAAGGATGCCGCAGAGGGGCGATGAGGCTTGAAATCCCGCCGTCCCCTCGCTCTCTTCTTTCTCTCACATGACACCTCCTCACCGACCCCCCCTTTTCACTTCCCCTCGCCCGTGACAATCCACCACCGTTTTTAAGTCAGTTAGGGAGTTTCAAACAGTTTCATCCTTTTCTACGTCTGACCTGAGACGCCCTGTTTTTAGTTGAACACAAGACTCCTATCCAAGGGATGGGTACATGGAATACTTGCGGGGAAATAAAAGACCTAATGGAAAAACCTGGTGCTACCTAATTGTGATAAAGTATTTTGCGGAGAAATGAGCATAATCTTTTGATAGTATTCAAAACGCCTTAGTCTTTTGCCCTACTCATTTTTAAAAATCAAACTCATATAGGTTTACTGTTTTAAACGCTTTAAAAATACGATCAGCTTTCTTCCAAAATATTTCTAAGCTACATTAAATCCATGAATGCTTTTCTAACGTTCCTGATATGATTTTCTTTATAACACGGTATATTAAGTCTTCAAAGACAAATACGGAAAAAACTTTAACTAGTCGCTACGTTATTCCAGAGCATTTTCCTCTTTGCCATTTCCGCAGCCATTATAATTATACAGTGTGGTGAGAAAGAACTCATTATTTTTCAATGACGGTCCCAGATTTTGCCTCAGGCGTTTGGAAGCGCACATTAATTTGTTCGTGTGGTAAACAGTAATTGCACCTGTAGGCATTTGCTTTCAGAAAAACCTGCAGCCCTCGCTGAAGGTTGTGAAGGTCGAGCTCGCGCCAGGTCGGGGCGGGCTTGCAGTGGAGTCACAGACTCTCGGGCCCCGGAGGTGGAGCTGGGAGCCCGAGCGCGTCGGCCTCTCGCTCTGCCCGGCAGCAGAGACCTAGGGCAGTGGCGGCGTCGCAGGAGGTCCGGGCGGGTGGAGGTGGGGTGCGGGCAGCTCAGCTCCGCACTCGGCGCTCAGGCCTTACCACACAGCAAAGGCCGGCCGCGCTCTCACCCCAGGGCCGAGAGCCTAGCGGCGGGTCTCTGTCCTCCGCGTCGGTGCCGCCCCGCGCCGAGCCCTGCCAGGCCCCGCCGACTGTATGATTTGCCCGGGTTAAGTTTCAGAAGCTGGGTTGGAACGTTTAGGTTTTTTGTTCACAAGATTCTTACGGCAAGTGCAGCGGTGCAGACGGCACAAAAGCGCTCAGGGTGCATAGAGAAGAGATTTTGTGTTTTAATGAGAGCTGAACACACTGCCTGCTGGTCCTCCACGCTGGCCCGCCCCCGCCGCGGGGCCCTGTCTTTTCACGCCGCCTCTCTCACGTCCTCCCCGCCAGCGCCGGCCCATCTTTCGCAGCTCTTTCTCCTTTACGTCTTTGGTGGGATGAGAATGGAATTAAAGAAACGCCCCAGGCAGAGCCTCAGATTCAGTCCCACTGCGGATGGCTAGGGCGGTTAATAGACGCCCCTTTTTCAGAGGCTTTTCTCTATCGAGACCGGAGCTGTCCCGCCACCTTGTGAGGAGTCTCGGCTCGACCCAGACCAACACGCCACCCGCTTCCGGGTGCCGCCATGACCCAGGGGATGGGTCAGCAGGCCTGGGTTCCCCTGCTCGTCTTACTCAGTTCTTGCCGGTGCAAAGGCACGTGGTCGTGGTTGTTTCCCAAATGCCACAGACGGTGGGAGAGTTTGAAAACATGTTTGGAAAGCACATCTAGAGTTTTTACAAACCACGTTACCCAACGCACTAAATACTATTAGACTCAAATTCGTGAATTCCAAGAGCGATTCTTCACGTCCCAGATTCTAATTAACACTAAGGCTGCACACACCTGAGGCAGTGGAGATTTGAGGCAATTATCTAAGTAAGCCAAGCATGAAAAACTCGAACCTGAAAAACGACTAAAATTATGTACTGAAATGCCCTCATCATTGCCCTAGTCCTTCCTATCGTCAGAGTAGACACAACTCCGGCTCACAGTCTACTTATATGGCGATGACTGATTTATAACCAATTGAAAATCGTATGGTGGTCGACCCTGAAACCCTCCGACCGCCAGCGGTTAAGTACCTGGTCGGGGAAGTTCACGTCTTTATCTGTCCACAGCCCAGGGGCCGCGGGAGTAGGCTCAGGAGTTGCTAGAGAGAAAACAAACTTTAAGGTTTTCAAAAACCCCACAGGGCAAATGTGACAGCCCAGGGCAGCCAGTCAGTACTTTGGGTCCAGACAAGGGGCAGCTGTGTGGGGCGGTTCGCTTAAGCCACTGCGCCCCCGACGTCACTCACGCTCGCCCACACTCAGCCACGCGTTTGGGGTTAGTCTTTAAACACAGGACTGAAACTTCTCGGGCGAGACTGTAGAGTGCAAGGGAGGGCCGAAACTAGAGCTCCGGAAGCCGCCTGTCGCCGCCGCGCCAGTGTCTGCGCGCTTCCCAATCTGGAGTTAGCAAAACCCGCGCTCTGGCTCGAAGCGGCTTCACCACACTGGCGCGCAGCTCCAGGCCCAAAGGTGCGCGGCCGCGTTCCCACGCCTGAGCAGGAGCCGGGCGACGGGCGTAGGCAAGCACGACCACACCCCTCGTTCCAGCCAATCGTGAGCCACGTAGACGTGAAGAGGCGGAGCCCTGCGGGTGCTGGGGGCACGGTGGGGGCCTCTGCCTGCACCAAGGGGCGTGGCCGGCGGCGGTCCTTGCGGCTGAGCCTGGCCGTGGCGTGGGAAAGAGCTGTGAAGAGCCAACCGCGCTGCGCGGGAGCCGCGCCTGCTGGGGTCGAGAGAGGGAGGGTGGGAGGGAGGAGGCAAGAGGCAAGCGGGGAGGGCGCTGCGTTATACGGCTTTGGTGGCTGTGGCCGGGCTGCGCCCCGCGCCGCCTTCGCGGCGATGAAGCGCCCCTGCGAGGAGACAACCTCCGAGAGCGACATGGACGAGACCATCGACGTGGGGAGCGAGAACAATTATTCGGGGTGAGCGCGGTTCGGCGGGGCTGCCCAGAGCCAGAGAGCGTTCGGGAGCTTTGTGCACAAGCGGCTCCTTGGAAATCTCTTGGTTGCTCCCCTCAGAGCCTTGGGTGAATGGGCAAAAGTTTTGCCCGAGAAACTTTGGTGGGCGCGCGCTGAGCTTGCTTTGGGGTGGGGCGAGGGATGTCGGGTTTCACCACATAGATGAGGAGGGAGTAGACGGGAACGGACAGAAAGGAGAGGTGCAGGCATTGGCGAAGGAGGATCTTTGCTGTCAGCGGCTGGGCGCGCGGAACCGGCGCGTCCGGACGACGCCACTGAAGCTGTTATTTGGAGGGACACTCTAGACGGGCCAGGGAAAAAGAAAAACAGTTTTTTAAAAAATCATTTTAAGAGACTGAAAACACATTTTGGAGACGTTAAAGCAATTTGTGATGTCAAGGCTAAGTAGGATTGAGCTTTCCAGAGTGACCGTGTGTGAAGGGGCTGACGCGTGGATGAGTGACAGATGTAAGGATCGGTTCGGGCAGCATCTCTTTGACTGATTGTTCATAAATATGGAAAAGATCGAGGTCTGATCACAGAAGCCAGACCCTCCACTTTCCCGTGACAGAGGCATTTTAGTGCCAACGAAGGTCAAATGATAATTGCTTCTAATTGGCATCCCCAGAAGCTCCTTAATTATTTATCTGCAGCTGTCACTCAAAGAAGGAAATTTTCCCTACCTTTGGAAAACTGATTTTCTTTGATAAAGTTATTCTAATAAGTCCAAAACCTGAAATGAGCAAAAGCAAAGACTTACATGAGACGTTGTTTGCAAAGTATGTAATTGCTAAAGAGTCATTATGCCATCTTAAAAAATTAGGTCTGAAAAACAAAATGTCAAGGAAAATTCGAAACCATTGAGGTGGGGCTAGAAATGAGGGGGACAGTTAATTCAGAAATAAAATCCAGAAGTGAGAAGGTGAGGTAATAGGAACCTGATGTGTGCAATATTTCTTCAATGGAAGAGAACAAATAACAGAAATCTGCAGATTTTGAGAACATATAGTACACAGGAACTATGAAGAGAAACAGATAGGCAAACTGGGAAGGATCATAAAAATAAGGAGTAACAAAATAATAACAGGAACTTTCATGTCATGAAATGTCTTTTCATTAGTAAACTCAAGAGGAATTGCATCTCTTACAGGTTAAGCTTATGTTGAAGACTGAGAGATACCCACAGTTTCGTTTTCAAACTAAGACATTTACTTAGTCCCTGCTGCAGTTTTTCTCCCCTCTCGGTGACATACTTAATTTGGGACATTCGTTTGGAGGATTAGTGTACCAGACATCAAATTGGTCAGAGGTTTTTTTCATGTCATGTCATGAAATATGACTAACTGAAGTTTTGAAATAGAGAAGTTCTGTTTATTTTAAAGATTGCAATAGGGACAACATTGACATGAGATAACTGTGTATCTGTTTGATAGTAACTGTGTTTAACATAACCCTTATTTTAAAATAACTGCTTTGCTCAGTGTGTGTGACAGGAGTGAGGAAGAGAGATGCTATTAAAGGAGATTAGTTGATTTTTAAGAAATATGTGAGTGGAACTAGGACGTACTCATACCTAACTTCTCATTCAAACTGCCCGTAACTATTTGTCTGTTGTTGTTGTTGTTATGTGCCGTCGAGTCTTTAATAGAAGTTCAGGGAAGTTTTTACCAATGTATTTGTCATCTGGATTATCCATTCCCCCCACCCAAAAAAAATAAAAATAAAGAAGAGAGAAAGAGAAAGAAAGGTTTAATTCCTATCTGAAAAGAAACAGTATGGCTGAAAGCAAAATATACTAAGATTTAAGTAAGAATTAAGAATAAAATAACACATGTGAACTGTGCAGTCATTTGAATACTGAATGGTGCCATTAGGTACCTAGAAGAAATGATTGTTATGTTAATGAAGCACCTGACATACTCTTCCTATTTCATAGGCAAAGTACTAGCTCTGTGATTAGATCAAATTCTCCAACAACAACGTCTCAGATTATGGCAAGAAAGAAAAGAAGAGGGGTATGTGATTTTTTTATTTTTATTTCATATAATCTAGTCTGCGTAGCAGTTGTATTTTTCCTTTATGAGTAATGTTGTTGTTTGGCTTTCTTTGGGATAGATTATAGAGAAAAGGCGTCGGGATCGGATAAATAACAGTTTATCTGAGTTGAGACGACTAGTGCCAACTGCTTTTGAAAAACAAGTAAGCTACCCCTACCCTCACCCCACCCCTAAAAAGCTCCAACAATCAGACTTTCTCATCTGGGAATGTGGGTTCTTGTTAAAGCTCATTAAAATAATGGTGTATGTGCCCTGATCTGGCACAGAACAGCTATTTCAATAAAATGCTTTGTTGTGGCAAAACTATTAAAAACATAATCCATCATGAAGCTGAAAAACATTTCCATTCTTTTGCTTATTTTCCCCTTAAGGGTAACAGTGTTCATGCTTTCTCTGTTCTTTGTATGAA